AATTACGTAGTATTTTGTCTACCAATGATATTTTCAACGATATAAACTCATCCTGGAGTTACCCTTATCGAGACCTTTCGTTTGAATACCCACACGAATTTTTCCATATATTTTATATATATATGATATTCCTCATATTTGTGAAATATATAAAATATATGGAAAAATTCATGTGGGTATTCAAATGAAAGGTCTTGATGAGTGTAACATCAGGATGAGCTTATATCCTCAAAAATGTTCATAATTAAGAAATCACGTTGTATTTTGTCTACTGATGATATTTTAACTAAAATTTTTCAAAATATTGATTAATTAAATTGTCGATAGTAAAAATGTTGGCAAAAACGCGCTCGCTTTTCTAGTTTCTATAAAAACTTCAAAATTTTCTATTCAAATCAACAAAATTAGATTATTTATTTTAAAAATCAATGAGCCACCTTATTTAATTTTTTTCTAAGCTAAAAATTCTATTGCCAATCTGAGAAGAAATAAATTTTTTTATTTTCACTCTTTAATCTACTTAATTAACATTTAATAATTACTTACTAAAACGTCTGACGTTTATCACTATTATAATCCCAGGAAAAGTGTCCAGAATTAATAGTAATTGCGTAATTTTTATCAATAGGCTTGTCAGTATAACGATCAGTGTCTTTCAATACCAAAACAGTTTTTAATTTGTTCAATGAAGCTAATCCATGTGAAATACTGCTCATTGCTAACCAACTGCTCCTTACGCAGTGTTTTAAATTAATCAGGATCAAAATTAAACATGGAATGTACTAAAAAAAAAAAATTTTGTATTTTTAAGTAAACTAAATATTCTAAGTAATTAAAAAAATTTTTTTTAATTTTTTAAATACATTGGTGGAGACAATTTGCTGATGAGTAAGCAAGTAAGCCATTGTCATAGCGCTAACAGTAACAATTGGAATAATATGGACCATGCAAAGACTACAGCCCTCGCTTAGAGCTCCCATTTTTAATTCTCCCAGTTCTTTTTTACGCACTCCGTG